TCCAGTTTTCGGGTACACGGTATCTTGCTTACAGTTTCAGGCAGGGATAGCCGAGTGGTTAAGAGGTTAGACTCATGTCTGCACCTCTGAAAACCGCGAGTTCGATCCCTGCCGAGGCTAAACCATGCCTTGCAAAAATTGCAAAAATGGTTCTAGTACCAGCGTCAGGCCCAGGTTGACAGGCCGGCTGATGAAGACCCCAGTCACACCAACCATGTCTAAAAGTTGAGCAGATCCTGCGACTGCGTGGGACTAAGCTAGGGAGAAGATGCTTACAGTCACTCATAGACTACGATACCCCCCCCCCTTACCCCTTGAGGGCGTCTGCTGAATGGCGTCGGACAGACGTGATAGGCTAGGTAATAGAAGAGCTGTTTATTTGTTTACTTATTTATTTATTGGGCTTAAGGAGCGGCCAATATGAATTCAAGGAGAGAATCAAATGTATGATATAAGATGATGTAAGAAGCTGGATAGAAATAAGAAAGGTCACGTTAGCTTGGAGTGGTAGTCCTTAAGGGCTCTCAGCCATTTGAGGGTGTTCTCACGCTCTTAAGCAAATATTCAAAGGATTTTCAGGGATTTAAAGAGAGACAAGTCCCTGTTTGAGGTCAGTAAACTGGCAAAAAATACTTGGGAACTTCTGGGCGATATTCAGGAACAGATTGGGAAATGGTCATGCAGGAACTGACCGCATATGTGTAAATCAGTCTAGACGATGAAAAAGATGTCGGGCAAGCTGTTGCAAGTGCAGCCCTTCAAAAAGTTGTCCCTGGACAGACAGCCCAAAAACGATAGTGAAACCACATGGCCACAAGAAGAAAGAGGTTGAACTATAGCCCTGCCTCTTCTCAACCCCCCCCCCTCCTCTTAGAACTTAACAGCATCAAGGGCGAGGTGTCTAAATGGATATGCAAACTATCACTTGCAAAAGAGCGCCGCTTACTTCGGAAACAGCGAAACATCACACAAGCTGAATCAATTTCACATGTGTACTTATGAGAGCGTGAAAATATTGTCAATCATAGGAGCGGAAGCGAAAAAGCACAGTCGGGAGTCGGACTCACCTGTTTTCGTGTGAGTTCTGTCATACTTGCCACATATGGTCCCTCGTTCTTCATACTTCTCGATGAACTGCTGCTGTGCGAATGAGGGGCCGCGGTCAGCTGAAAAAAATCAGCTGATCAACGCGACAAATCGACGGGGGCATGACATAAGAGACACGAACGGAACACACATAGAAATACTCTTTACTCTTTTCAACCACACCAGAGCAGATAATTTTGGCCAGCTGCGCGATCGGATTAAACACGGGGATTTTTCGGCGACACCCAATTACGGTAGTTGGGCAGAGAGGAACTGGCGGCACTGGTTGGGTCAAAGCCATGGGCAGAGCTCGCCGGATGTGGGGGCGTTGGTATAAGGATGAAGGGAGAGCACCATTGTTGATGACTGGCGCGACATAGTACAGAGAACACAAAAAAATGTTTTCGAATATTTGAACAAAAGGAGGGGCCAATATCAGCAGCAGCAAATGAAGTCAACCAGAGCGGAATCGATAGGTGGGGATGTCGCAGCTGGGAAAATCATATGGAAAAAACTGCTAGGAGAGGAACTTAAATTTAGGCGCTATCGCAATATACGGGGCATTATGATGACAATGCCTTCGAAACCGCTTAGAACATTCTATTTTGTTGAGGTTTCATTTTCCCCGGGGCCTCTGTCCCCAATTAGGCTTAGTCCTAGAGAATGCCCCTGTATATTGCGATAGCGCCTAAATTTGTCATAAAATACTTCAAAAATGACCTAGGTTTTCACAAATTAGCCAAGAGATTAGGCCTCTCAGGCCCTCTCTTTGTAGAACTTCCTAAGAAATAACACTCTCCGAACTTCGCCCGAAGGGTTCTCTATTGTTCGTGAACATAGGCATGAAAAAGCACCTAAGCAGAATTAGGCATCGATTTCTACAGGCCTTTGAGGCCAGAGAGACTATCGAAAGGCATTTGCATAGAATTATCGAGCAGAACTGATGGCCTTGCCAACAAAGAGAAAATGTAATCGAAAATGCAATAAAAAAAAGTCACTGCAAATGGATGAAAAGGTTGTAATTGAATTAATTTGTTCAAATAAGACAAAATACTGTAAAA